TTAAAAAAAAAAAAAAAAAAAAACATTCCTTTGCCATTCCAGCTTCTTTAAATATTTGTTAGAAGACGTCTTATTGTACAGATATCATATCGTAGAGAAAGAATTTGCGTTTAGCAAGAATTCAGAGATGATTTTAAGGATTCGATTCGATGTTAGATCGTTCAATTCCTTGTAAACTCTTCCGATATGCATCTCACATTTGACATTTTTAGAGCTTTAGTAGTATTGCGCTTGCCCCAAATATTCGCTTCTTCTCGATAGAATCGGTTCGAAGCCCTCCCTTCGAAAAAAAGAAAAGGTAGATCATATCTTCTCCCGCTATATAAAGTAGATATTGTAGAAGCTAGAGTAGTAAATGTGCTCGACCTGACAGATCGACTAATGGAAATACCGAGGAAATTCACGATGCTGGTGAAGGTCCTAGCCAACCACGGCCGCAAGAGCAGAGGTAAGAGTTGAAAATCAGAAAATGCTTCGTTTTTAAATGTCAAATAAAACTTGTTTAAAATAAACATATATTTTAATCGCTTAAATTAACAGTTTCGTGCTATTGTATAAATTCTGTTTAGAACTTCTTCCATTTAAATCATTAATCAATTAACTCGTTTTTAAATGATTTTCTTTAAAAAGTTTTTCCTTCGCATTTATCTTAACTTATGAATATGATTTGAAGTAAACGTAGACAGAGAGAAAGTGTTATTTATCAATAGGAAAAGCAGCACACTGACGGTCTCTTACATTCGAATTCTGGCATCGAGTTTGGAGCGAGGATTGGACATATCCTCCTCCAGGTATCGAGAGTATTTTGTAAAATTCATGATTGATTTCAAATCTCCATTCTCACTCAATATTTAATGTTGAACACATTCTTTGCAAGCAGCACGTTTATCATTATAATTTCTTTTGCCCTCTCTTCGAATTTTCAATAGTTGAACGGTTAGTTATTTTATTATCGTAAAGATAATAAATATTTTAATTGTATAAATTTTTATATTTTCAAAAAATCGTATAACATTTTTTGTTCGGTATTATATTATAGGTTTCTATGTGCTTTATATGTGCTTTGGTATTTCGTAAAAGAATTTCTCTTTTGCGAATTATGTAATATGATTATCATTAAGATATATCATATTCTCAATATGACTGATGTAAATTTTTATTTCCATAGCACACTTTTCTCCGAGATTTCACCTGTTCAACACGATGATGACGGTGGCGAATTATCAGAAGCCGATCAACCACCAATTATACAATTATTGGCGTCTATTTGGTTTGCAATTTTGTCGCATTCGTCTCTATTTTGTTACTTCATGGTATTCCTTCATCAAATTAAAAATGCATCTGTTCTCTCCATCCCTCTACCTCTCATGGTATTTTTCTGGGGTTCGTTAACCATCCCTCGACCCTCGAAAACGTTTTGGATAACGTTGATCGCGTACACCGAGGTGAAATATTATTTTTCCTAGTAATTTTTCAAAAGAGAAGTCGATCGATTAATTATAATCAATTTTTTTTTTTTAGGCAATTGTTATAGTAAAGTGTATTTTTCAATTGGAAGTATTGCCCTGGAATCGGGATCCTGCACCGAATAACCCTCTCTTCACCCCTAGGATTATGGGAGTTGAACGCAAATTTAATTATGCTCTATGGGACTTATTATTGCTCCTCGTAGTGTTCTTCCACAGGTAAGGTGTATAAATTTAATACAAATATTTCTAAAATCGTTTTTTCGTTTATAGGAAAAGTCGAACAAAAATATAATTTTTAGATTTATGCTCAAGTCATTGGGACAATGGACATCTTTGTCTTTGAAACCAAGAAAAATTATTCCTTCGGCTTTAACTTTAGTTCCGTCTAAACCACCACCATCCGAAAGAGGCCAAGGAGAGCCTGTAACATTACGACCTGAAACGAAGTACATTAATTTTTTAAATGTATTTTATGAAATTTTTTTATTAATTTTTATTTAATAACTTTTTTCATTTTAAAGAGATAATATTCGCGCGACGACGCCTAAAGGAAGAATTCTAAACCTTCAACCAGCTGTGATTGTCGGTGAAAGTGTGCGAACCAGTGATGAGTATGAGCAACTTGTCGCGGTTCAAGGGGAAGAAACCAGTCCTATGGAGGAAGAGTTTAACAAAGTTATGAAAATGATGTAAATAGATAGTTTTTCATTTAATAAAAGTTTTACGTTTAATATTTATTTAAATAATATGATTTATTTTCAGGATCGTCAAATATACGGAACCAATAAAACATTTTTTCCATAAAATTATTAGCCCATATGGAAAAGAAAAGACGAACGTATACGCGTACATGTTCCTCTGCGACTTTTTTAATTTTTTGCTGTTCATTTTTGGATTTTCCGCATTTGCAGTGAATAATTTTTCCAAATAGTTTTTCTCAAATTTTCATTACAATTATTCCTCTTTAATCGCGATATTTATTAACTTTTTTTTTTTAGACGCAACAAGGTGATGGTGGCGTCGCAGCTTATTTACAAGAAAATAGAGTCCCGATGCCGTTTTTATTGATGTTGCTATTACAATTCTCATTGATAATTATCGATAGAGCTTTGTTTTTAAAGAAATCGATCTTGGGCAAATTAATTTTCCATTACTTTCTAATACTTGGCATTCACATTTGGATGTTCTTCATTTTGCCAAGTGTAACTGAAAGGTATCGTATGGCTTTTTTTATCGTATAAAAATTCTATTAAATATTTAATTAAATAAATATTTAATTAAAAATAATCGTAGACGATTCAACGAGAGGCTACCGCCTCAAATTTGGTACATGGTCAAGTGTTTCTATCTCTTATTGGCAGCCTATCAATTAAGACAAGGTTATCCAACCAGAATACTTGGTAATTTCCTGTGCAAGAATTACAGTATTATCAACTACGTTTTATTCAAAGGGTCAGAATATTTTCCTTCGTTCAAAACCAGTTTCCTAGAATTCGTTTCGAACGAATAATCTATTCATAATTTCTTCACAGATTCATGTTGGTCCCATTCTTGTTCGAATTGAGAGCAGTAATGGATTGGATCTGGACGGATACTTCCATGACAATAATGGATTGGTTCAAAATGGAAGATATCTTCGCCAACATTTATCAAATCAAAGTAATGTCGTGCAATAAAAATATATAAATTACGTATAAATTACTAAAAAAAAAAAAAAAAAAAAAAAATTCAAAAATTCGAATTACAGTGTATGCGAGGGGTAGAAACAGATTTCCCTCAACCACGAGGCGAGAAGAAGAGTCAGATAAGCAAATACTTAATGGGTGGTGCTGCTCTCTTTTTCATGATCGGATTAATATGGTTCCCTTTGCTCTTATTTGCCCTTGGTGGCACCGTTGGCATTTCCAATCTACCATACGAGGTTTCCATGAAAATAAGAATCGGCTCTCACGAGCCCATTTACTCCATGTCGGCGCAAGGTCAATCCATCATGGAATACAGCAAATTCGATTACACGAGATTTGTCAATTTGTACGCGAAAGACAAAGCTGCGATTACTTTTCTCGAGAACTATATACATTCTGATGTTGCTGCTGTGAGATTGAGCGGATTCTCTAGAAAATTATGGAATATATCTCCCCCAGACTTGGAAATGTAAGATGATAAAAATTATTTTTATTCTTTTCGAGTTAAGAATTTAAAACAAGTTGTTCCTTATATTTTTCTTGTAACAAGATATGATTGATTTTTTTCACGTAATATTATTCTGATTCAGACTGATAGAGGAATTAAGAGATAATGAAACAACCGTGATTATTCACGTGGAGTGGACGGTGTCTCGGAAGACGGACGCGAAAGATGCGACTGGGATAACCACGACAGTTCGAGACATAAAATTGAAACCGTATGAAAACAAGGAATTTAATCCCGTGAGAGAAACGTTAGCCAATGTACTTTCCAATTTAACGATCCCTCATACTAGCATTATCATATTGCCATATGCTTTCCCAAAATTTTTGAAAGTAACCGGTCGAACCACCACCATCGTTCCACAATTGATGATGCGTAAGTTTGATGACGATCCATATAACGAAGAATAATAAAACGAAGATAAATCGTAAAACGGATGTTTCATATTGCATACGAAATTAATTTTCAGCGAAATGGATGGAAATAGAGGATAGGATAGTAAAAGATATTCATCTGTATAGAAACATTAGTCTTTTTTTATCTTCGGAACCGGATTGTTGCTCGCATAAAAAATGGTGGGTTGTTAATGAGGTCTGCAACGATACTTTATACGAAAATTTATTAAGCAGAGTGCCTCTAAATGATTGCAAATACATCATGATGTATTTATTCAATGATAAAACGTTCCCCGAAGGATTGAGTTTTATCAGCGGATTAGGGTAAGTTTATCTCGAATTGTCTATTGTGATTAGTTAATTAATTCACAACTTATTTGATTTTTGTACGTTTCTGTAGAATATTAGGTTTGTACACTACAGCCGTAATAGTCATAAGCCAAATGACCAGAAGGGCGGTGACTGATATGGCGCCAAGAATTATGTTCGATGATCTGCCCTACGTCGATAGGATACTTCGACTATGCTTGGATATTTATTTGGTCCGTGAAAGTGGAGAGTTGAGCCTCGAGGAAGATTTGTTTGCCAAATTAATATTCCTTTATAGATCACCAGAGACGATGATCAGGTTGCTGTTAAATCAAATCATCAATTATATTAAAAAAAAATGCGTTATCGAATTTTCAGGACGCGATATCACGAAAGCAAATTTTTGTTCAGGTGGACAAGACCTCCCGAGGAAGGGGAGAGAACTGATAACGAAGATCAAGATGACGCGGATGAGGATGCTGCGATATCTCGCGAAGTATCTCGGCAATAAATTGTCGAACGTTTATAAGGATATAAACGTTACGAACGAAACAATATTTGGCCTGTTCTTTGGCCAAGAACTTTTGTTGAATCAAAGATTTTGAATATTTTATCACTTATCGCGAAGTGAATTCATTATCATAATTTCGGATAGTTTCGGATAAGACAATAGTTCGCACACTTATTGCGAAAGTGACGCGAAGAATGGTTCGAAAAATTCGAAAAACTCAGGAATTTATTATAACCATGTTTATTGTTAAAGAATTGATTAACGAAGATCGTTCCTATCTTCGAATATGTATATTATAAAGATGTATATACGCAAGTAATGCAGAGAGGAAATGATATAATTAAAAGAAGCGGAAGATTTGAAAATTTGAGAAAAGTTCGAGGATACATTATACGATAGAATTATTTATTTCTTTCTAATCGTACTTTTAAGCGAAACAGGTTTTATTAATTTTTATTTTAATATTTATAGGATAAGGAATTTAATATTAATAATATTTATCGCTTTATCGTATTCATATTTTAAGATATGAAAAATTGTGATTACGAGACATCAGTAATTCAATTTGAAAGAAATGCTTTATAAAATTAAGCATCTAATGAATAAGTTTGTTACAGCACGTGCAAGATAGTGCTTTGTTTTTATCTCTAATTTACTACAATTCATGCCTAAACCGAACTGTATTTCTAGCATTTAAATTACATCTTCATAGGTAAGAAGTTAAACTCTTTACTATTAAAAAGTTAGAATTCCCGATACTGCCGATAGCAAGATCTTTCGTTCTCTTTTATACGTTTTTCTAATCGTCAATTCATCTAGCTCTCATAAATAATTATCTGGCCATTTTGCCAAGCCTCAAGCATATTTTATATATTTAAAAATATTCGAAGAAAATCTTGATATCATAAGAATTAACATTATTTGTAAATATGCATTATACGATGTGCATCTTTGTCGCAAAACATTGTATCATGTCGCCTTAATATGCCTTTTAAGAATATCTTCGAATATATATAAATTGTTTCAAACGAATGTGGCATAATTTATTTATTAAATTTCTACTGTAAAAAATATATGTATAGAGATGTAATTGTAAAATATTTTATTGAATATTTCTTTACAAAGGAAGATTTACAATTTATTTTCTTTTTTTCAGTTCAATAAAGATATCAACTACAAATCAGCACAGAATATGTTATAATATAACAAGGAATAACATATTAAATGCAGCTTATACATCTAAACCGCATAACATAATTTTATTTTCTTAAATCTTTTTAAAAAAATATTAGTAAAAATGTTAAAAAATATATCATCTCGTTAATATCAGCACGTATATTATCACTTTTTACTCAAGATATGTAATAATAAGAAAAATATCATATAACTAAAAGATGTGCAAAATTTTACATTCCGATAAATAACTATTAATATTATACGGAAAGTTATTGAGGAAGCAATATTGTGCAAAACACGTATTTTCCAAAACAAATAGATAAATTATCGATAGCATGACTATCTTTATGCAATATTTTATTTTACATAAAGAATGTCAAAAAATCAAGCGAATGTTTTTTTTTTTTTAAATAGGAAATACGAATGATTCTATGAGGAAAATGTAAGCGATCTACAAGGAAAATAAAAATGATTCTACGAAGAAAATGTAAATGGAAAATCCACTGTTTTGATTTGTTATGATTGGTTTTATATATAATATGGAACTAAAAAAATACAATAAAAAAATCAAATCATAAGGGAATATAAAAATCACAATAAGTTCGATATCAATGTATCGATTGTTCATTATATCGAAAAATTTACGGAAGATCTCTTTTTTAAAATTCTGTATATTTTTTTAATTATGTATATATTAGTATTATTTTTTTTTTATTTCGAGAATTTTGCAAATCTGTTAATTTCATATAGTATTAATAATTAATAATTAATAATATATTAATAATATTTAATAATTACAGAATAACAATAACAGTGGAATGATACTTTTCATGGACAAATTCTGAATACACAGAATCAGAAAAGTGTACATTTTTGCTATTGTTTAGACAATTCCTTACATTTCAATTTCAATGCAATATTCTCCTGTTTTAAGAATTCAAACTCTTCCATCTTCTTGTTAAGTTCTTCATTTCTTTTTTGTAACATAACAATATCTTCTTGTAATCTTTCATTTTGTGCAATTAAACTTTTCACTCTATTTGATTCTTTACTAGGATGCATTTCATTAATTATGTCATCTGTTTGACACAACAAATGTTTAATCAGATTTGCTTGAGAGTTAATATGCAATTCTTGCATTGCTTTTAAAATTTTTGTACTTTCCTGTTTTGTGCATATACTCACAATATCCTTAATGGCATTAAGAAGTGCAACAGGATCAATTTCTCTGGATTCTACTTTTCTAATATCATGAGTTTTTGTTTTTTCCTTAGTTTTTTCTTCCACTTGGGAAGTTCCTTCTTTTGAATAATCTGGAGGCCTATTATTTTCCTTGGCAAATACATCTGAGGTTTGCACATTTTCCTTACTACTTCCAGAACGGCGTACTTTATCTTTCACTATTATCTTGCTTTCAGAAATTCTTGTTCTTGATTCTTTATTCTTTGTTTTACTCTCATCTTGAACATCTTGTTCTTTTCCATCACTTTTCACTTTATTCTCAATTGGTTTCAATTTTGATTCAACGAGTTTATCTTTTCTTTCAGATGTTTTTATTCTTATTTGTTGTTTTTTTGTATCATGTTCAGACAATTTTTTTACGTCTCTTGTATTTAATTCTTTCTTAGATTGTTTTTCAGATTGCACATTCTCTCCCCTATTTGGCCGCAATTGTTGCAAAGGAGAAGATGTTGCATTCCTTGTTGTTATGTGACGATCTACTGAATAAGCATTTACAGTTTTAACATCACTAGATACTAATTCCAAATCTTCTAGGAAAGAATCATTCATATTTCTTTAATTTTTTTTATTTCAACAACAAATAAAATAAAATAAAACAATTTCTATTAAAGTAACAGCAAAGATAATAGTGTTATTATTATTGTTAGTTTTATAAATAAATTCTTTAATATAACAATTGTTTTTTTTCAGATTTGGGTCACAGTATCATCAAAAAATAATATTATTAACTTTTATATTTGAATTTATAACAAAAAGTCAAAGTTTTAATTATTTTTCAACCTTTAATCGAAAGAAGTATATAACTTTGCATACAATAGCATTGTTTATAATATACTTTAGTTTAAAAATAGGAACAATTCTACGTTAACCTTCAATCAAATTACGGAACACAACGTATATATAATTCAAACTTAATTTATCTTGTATCGATATAGTCAGCTGATACATTATTATTTCTAAACGCCATCTATAAAAATCTAATTGGCATTTCGTATTATAAAATTAATATTAATATTAATATCATTGTATTTTATTTTGTTTTAATTTCGATTAAAAATTATATAAAAATATAAAATTTACACTTTTTTTTTTAATTTTAATTTTATATTCGTGTACTAATAAACACTTGATATGCTTGCAGGTAATTTAGCATGTTGGCAACAATGGCGAGCCTGTGGCGGTATAAAAACATTTATTTTGCGTTCAATCAAAGCACTTGTGTTCTGATCGCGTGTGATAACGGAAATTGTTTTCTGAGAAGCCATTTTTACTGTAATTGTGTTTTATGATTAAAACACAATGAAGAAACTCGTACTTCTACAATTTTTATTTTTTATTTCATTTGCAAGAGGATTTACAAACGTTTATCCTAAACCCAAATATTATCCCCTTCTTCATGGAGAAGATGCTGGTACACCTCTTTTTTTAACACCACTTATAGAAAATGGTAAAATAGATGAAGCTCGTAATAAAGCTCTTATACAACACAAAGAAATGGATACTGTCAGTAGTTATGCTGGTTTCTTAACTGTTAATAAAAAGTATAATTCGAATATGTTTTTTTGGTTTTTCCCAGCTTTGGTAAGTAAGTAATTTCATATTTTTATTTTTATTAATAAGGGAAATATAGAATGAATAAAAAAACATATTGAATGAAATTTTGATTATGAGAAATAAATAAAAAATATATAAATTGTGTGTAAAAAAAAAAATGTCTGTAGTGAGATAGAAATATTTTTGCGTAGCATGATCCAAAAACTGCTCCTGTAGTATTATGGCTACAAGGTGGTCCTGGAGCTACATCCATGTATGGTTTATTCTTAGAAAATGGTCCATTTATAATTACTAAAAATAAAACTCTTAAAATACGTGATTATTCTTGGAATAAATGTCATAATTTGTTATATATTGATAATCCAGTTGGTACTGGATTCAGTTTTACTGAAGATGAGAAAGGCTATGCTACCAATGAAACAGATGTGGGAAGAGATGTACATACTGCATTAGTTCAATTTTTTGAATTATTCCCAGAACTTCGAACCAATGACTTTTATGTCACTGGTGAATCATATGGTGGAAAATATGTACCAGCAGTATCTCATGCTATTAAAGATTATAATATCAAAGCAAAGATAAAGATAAATTTAAAGGGTTTGGCAATTGGAAATGGATTTACCGATCCAGTGAATCAATTGGACTATGGAGATTATTTGTATCAATTGGGTCTGCTTGATGCAAATGGCAGAGATCTATTTCAAAAATATGAGGAACAGGGTAAAAATTTAATCAAACAAGAAAAATGGCTGGAAGCTTTTAATTTGTTTGATGAACTTCTCGATGGAGATATAACACAGCAACCTTCACTCTTTAAAAATTTAACTGGTTTTGATTATTATTTTAATTATTTATATGAAAAAGATCCAAGTAATGAATCTGATTACATGCTAGAATGGCTTCAAAGAGCAGATGTCAGAAAAGCTATACATGTTGGCAATCGCACATTTATTCCTGAATCTAAAAAAGTAGAAACATATATGAAAGCTGACGTTATGCAATCTTTAGCATTTATTGTAGCAGATCTTACTCAATATTATAAAGTTCTCATATACAATGGACAACTTGATATTATTGTTGCATATCCTTTAACAGAAAATTATTTGCAAAAATTAAAATGGCCTGGTGCAGAAAAATATAAAACAGCACAAAGAAAACTATGGTTTGTTGGAAACGAATTAGCTGGATATTCAAGGACTATTGATAATTTGACTGAAGTTTTGGTAAGAAATGCTGGACATATGGTTCCTCTTGATCAGCCAAAATGGGCTCTTGATCTCATTACACGTTTTACACATAATAAGAGTTTTTAAGTAGTTTACTAATAAAATTTACTCAATCATTTTGCCTAATTAGTTATAGTACTTATATTTATTACAAAAATGTAAGATTTAAATTTAAAATTATGATTGTTTAATA